ACGACATACCAATAGACCATTGTGGAAAAGGTTGAAAATTTTATTTCTCAAAATTCCAAGAACCAGGCAGCTAGCAAAGAAAATAACATTCAACTACAACAGGTCATATGGCAAATATTTTGACACTTGATGGATGACCTACAGTTAAAAATACAGGCTGTGAAGGCAAGAAGAGAGAACTGAATAGGATTTAAAATCATGATTTGGAGATAAGGATTTTCTTAGAGAATGTCCTTAATGGGACACCAAAGCTGTGGAAAGCCATCTGGTCTGTGTTTCAGTTTTGGACAATGAAAAAAATAGGGTTAGCATGGAAAAATAATTTTCAGCGTAGATAACAAACTTGGAATTAATCTTTCTTTGTGTCTTCACCCTGAGGCAGTCAACAACCATTGATTGGAGGGGTGGCTGAGGTGGCAGGCACAGATGAGACACCAAGGAAGGTGGAGGAGCTACACACACCCACTGAGAAGTATTAGTGGGAGATGGTAATAAGAGAAGGTAGAAGTTATGAGGTGGATTAATGCCTGTGACCATCACCCATGGAAAAGGGGAATTCCTCAAATTAGGAAGTAATTAATTCTCAGAATCCAGACAATGAAGATGACAGGTAGAGAAGATACTGAATACCCAGCCACATCATGTCCCCACTCATGACAGTTTAGGTGAATGTCATTGAATATGAATGCCTTGAAGTGAGAAAGTAGAGATCGTCGGGAGAGATCATTCCAGCCACTGGACGTGATACACCCCATGTGATTATCTGCCGACAAGACCCTCTGACATCAGCCTTGTGCCAAACTTCACCAAATCAGCAAAACGACCTTTACCAAGTTAACCAAGTGTTGCATCTGACTTAAGAAGCAGTTTGGGTTCATAATTGTCTGCATGTGAACTCCTAGACTTTAACAACAGTTAACCAACTATTGTACAAATATACAATAAAAATAACATTTTTTTTCCTTCTTTGCGTTTTCACCCTGCTGGACCAGCCCAATGTGAAGATACCTGATGGCAATTTGATCTTGGCCTGCCTTATGAACAAATCAAATCACAGCATGGGCCTGGATCGAAGCGATAACCTATTCAATCAGCCATGGGTGTTGGACATCATGGACAACCTGGGAAGGTCTTGAGGGCGACAAAGATAATAATTAGCAATAAAAGAAATGAAAACTTGTGAAGGAACTTACTGAAATGGTGTATAATGTTTTAGTATTTGGCTGTTCTAGTTGATAAAACTTTTAAATGAAGGATTACAACTTAAATATGCAATGGTTGAAACCTGTTTTCATCTTATTATGGTGATGTTCACTTGTTATGGTAGCATGATACATTACCATAATATCTCATTAATGAACTACGAAGAACAAGTCATATAACTTATCAATATAAGAATATTTTAGCTTTCATTTGTTATATTTACTTTTAATCATTTAAAAGGCAGGATTTTCTCTAATGTGCAACAATAGAATTAGTTGTACAGATAAAAATCATTAATTACTTATGCAGGAACACAACCAAAGTAATTATTTTTTAAAAATTTTTATTTTTTACAGTTATGTGTAAAAGAACATATCTTATTACTTTTACTTAAAGTTTCATTGACTAGGTAATAATTAGGCATATATTTTGTTTCCTGTAAATTATATATATATATATATATATATATATATATATATATATATGAAAAATTTTTCAGAGTTTACCTGTAGAATTTTACACACACACACACACACACACACACACACACACACATATATATATATATATATATATATATATATATATATATATATATATATATATATATATATATATATCATATTTAAAATTTCCTCTAAAGGAAAAGTGCTCAAAATCAGAGATAAAGCATTTATAGATATTGACAGTGAATATATCAACACTGCATGGTGACTATCAGTTTCATCAATGCAATCTTCAAACCTCGTACTATAGATTTGATTTGTATGTACATTGTCTCTATCTATCCACCTATATATATATATATATATATATATATATATATATATATATATACATACATGTTTTCTGGATGTTTTCTGGTGCCATACAATTCAGGGTCCTTTAGATAATTTCTCACAACTGTTCAGGACCTCAACAGTTCTCTTGCAATGAAACTTATAGATTTTCCTTTCAGTTTATAGGCAGAAATTTGCCCTTTTTCATTTTCATTAAGTGGTGAGTTCCTAGGCATTTTTCAGTAACTGTATTCAATTATGAAATGTTTAAATAGGACTCACGTGGCTTAAAATTCTAAGAGTCTTTTTATAATCTGCACATGCACTTATTCTTCCTTTGGCAAGTAAACAAGATTTGCAAATTTTCAAAACTGTCTTATAATTATTTCCACCCTCAAAAACGAATTTTTGTTAATAATTTTTTTTTGGTGGAAAGTTGTTATAAAATCGAATATGTATACACTACTAATCCCCATCAGATCTAGATACCACACACAGAGGAATTTGTGCAGTAATAAGAAAATTATTAACAATTTCATGGGGTATCATACTTATTTCTCACACTGTATAGAGAGAGAGAGAGAGAGATGCAATAATTGTTTTTCTGTCATAACATTTCTTATTTAAATTTTGTATGGATAACTTTTTCTATTCAAATAAATCTACATTTGAATAGAAAAAGTTATCCATTGTAAAAATATCATTATTTATTACCTTGGTTGAGATGAGCCTGTTGTTAATGAATAATGCAAATACTCATCAAACTTGTGTTACTTATGTTAGCTTTCATTTACAATTTTACATTTACCTTTTTTAAAGAAAGACAAATATCTCAAACTATAAACATTGCTGTTAAGTTTAACTACAATGTCTTTAAAATTAGTTTAATAAAATTTTATTTTTCATAAAAAAAAGAATATTTGAAGAAATAATTTATCAACTGGGATTATTTGTGTACAACCATCCGGTGTTTAAATCATTCACTTCAAATTTCTAAAATTAATTGTTCTATTTTATTAAACTTAAAAAAAACTGTAGTGTAAATTATTTGTTTTTGTTTTGTTTTTTATTTTTTGTATGGATGAATGCATTTCTTTTAAAGATATTTTTCATCTTATTTTTAGGACTTTGAAAGCTCAATTTCGAGAAAAACTAAAAAACTGAATTTTGGTCCTGGTCTAAAAAATGATTACACTGTAGTGCAAATTATTTTATTTGTATCAGTCATAATTTAAATACAAAGCAGGTTAAAAAAAAATAATTACACGTAATGGTGATCTTTGATATAATCAATCTTGTGTGTGTGTGTGTGTGTGTGTGTACGTTCGTGTAAAGCCTTACAGTAAAGGACAGTGTATAAAATTAAAATATTATTATTATTATAACGCCGTTTAACGGTGTACTTTTCCAGTCCTCACTAATGTTCACTTATGACAAGAATAACAAAAACTCAATGGTTTAAAAAAAATTAAGAAATATTTATTTTTAGAAAAAGAAATGAAAATTTACTTTATGGGATGTGTGAGTTTGTAACTTTGTAGTTAGTGAGCCTGGTACAATAATTTTAATTATTTGCTGAATCATTCTTTTTTTTCTTAGATATTTTTAATTTTAATTTAGGATAAGATTAAATTTTATTTCATTACATTACTTTTTATTAAAAAAATGAATATAAAAAGATTTGTCCCTAAAAATGTCATTTTGATTAGTAGAATGAATGAATTTTCATGTCTATCAACGCAATAATAACTTTGTAACAACAGGTGCAACCATTTTTATCTTTATTCTCTTCTTGTCTTTCTGTCGTATTTCTTGGACTTTTATTATTTTCAGGATAAAAGCCTATTTTCATCGACCCTTTCTATTTTGATAAACTTTCTTCTTCTATATTCATTTCTCTCTTGCTCATCTTTTCTAATTAAATTATCTGACCGTTTGTTTCTTTGTCTTCCTTTTTCTTTTTTAATGTTACATTTTTATTTATCCTTCCTGAGAGTTTTACTTTTTTTTCAGTTCTTAAATAATAAATGTTTTATTTTTTTCTGTCACCATCATTCTATCTTTAATTCGCTTTTTCATGCCTCTGTTGCCATATATGAGCATTTTATTTGCCATTTCTTTTTACTGCCTTCCTCTAGAGAAATGATTCAATCACTCTCTCTACTTCCATTTTTTGTCTCTTCTTGTACGTATTTATTTACAAACAACTGTTCATCATCTTACTCTTCTTATTTATTTATCTTTCTTTATTTGCCTTTTTCACATTTTATTTAATTTTTGACATTTTCTATTATCTCTTTTTCCTGGTATTTTTATTCCTCTTTCTCTAGTTCTCGCTTCACTTTGTTGTTCAGCCTTACTCTTCTTGACTCTTGACCTCTATTTTTTTAAATTTTACTTCTTTTCTGAAAGCTATCTTGTTCTCGTTCAGTTTTTTTCTTTTCACCAACCTTTTCTTCACCTTATTTGACATTCCTCTACAATTTAGATCTTCACCCTTTTCATCTTTTTCTCTTTCATTTACTGCTTTCTCTTCTTTTTCATTCCTGCCTTTTTCTTTCCATTTGTCATCCTGTTTCTCTTCATTGAAAAATGTCGTCTTTTGCTAATTCAACATCACTAACAACTATATATTCAAATGTTCACTTTCTTTGTCTTTTCATCTTCATTTTGTTGTATCTCCATTCTTTCTGGACTGTCTTTATTTTCTATCTCATATTTGTTGCCATCATTCTTCTTCTTACTTAACCCAATTAATTCATTCCCTCTTTTATTTATTTTTTCTTGTCTATTTTTTTTTTCACTTTTCCTTTAGTCGCCTTACGTAGCTAATTTATTTTTACTTTCGCTCGTTTCTCTTTCTCATTGCGCTTTCCTTTACATTATTAATCAATATTTACTAACCTCTTTTTATTCACGTTTCTTTCCTTTCTCCTCATCTTTTTAAATACCCAGATTGCCAATGCCTCTTCTTTTTCAATCAATTTTTATTGCTTAACTATTTCTGTCCTTAAAAATATGTTTTTCCCCGTTTTTATTTGTTTCTTTTTAAAATTCTCTATATATTCTTTTCTTTCTTTCAAATACATTTTTAAAAAATGTAATTTCCCCTTTTCGCTAATAAAACGTTCTGATTATTACTTTTTCTCCCTTACCTTCTTCTACCTTCTCTTTCTTTTCCCTTTGTTTTTCTCTTTTTCAACCTCCTTTTCTTTCCTGTTCAACAATCTTTCTCTTTTATTCCTCTATCTTTCAGTTGAGTTCTTCACCAATCTTTGCCTATTATTTCCATTTTTTCTCTAACTGATTAATCTTTTCATATCATCTCACTTCTTTTTTTAGTCACTCTCGCCTGTTTCTATTGTTCATCTGCTACATTTACTTTCATTCTCATTTACAATATACATTCTTTCTTTTATTTTTGTCGAATCTTTTCTCTTCCTCTCCTTTTTTTTCTCCTCCAACTTTTTCATTTTTCTTTCTTACCCTTCTTGGTCCTTTTCTTCACCTTTCTCCTCACCGTTTGTGCCTACCACTAAATACTTTTTTTACCCATCAATTCAATATCACACATCATCATCCTCTCTCTAGTCTACTTTTATTCCAATTCCATCATTACGCAGTAGAAATTGCAGCAGTGGCAACAGCAGCAGCCGTCCTATCGATTTTACCCACTTCTCCTTTCTTCCTCTCAACTGCTCAGATCTTTTATCCATTTTCCACTCCTTTTTTTTCTCTCACTTTCTCTTCTTTTAATCCCCCGCCACAACGTTCATGTCTCGCACCTCCTCTACTATTGAGTATTCAACCTCCAACCCTCTTTTCCCACCCATATACACCCTCGTCACGGGGGTGGGGGCAGCAATGGCTTCTGTCGCTAGGCAACAAGTCTACCGCATTAGAATTTATATTGATCCCGATGTTCAGCTTTCTAGCTCGGCCTGTGTACGCTATAGGCTTAAAATGTCTCTCTTGTGATATAAATAAGGTGTCGTGAATGATTGTCAGTGTCTATGGATTGGAAGATTGGTGCGTTAGTGGAAATAAAAATTTTATCATATGATGAGTGTGTATGTGACAGTGTACTGTACTGTACAGAACAAGTGCGTTTATGTTTTTTCTATATGAATGTGGATGTGTAAAAAATGTCAAGTGTATATTTTCCTAAAAGCTTGTGGTTTGTAACTGAGAATTCCACGTGTTTGATTAAAGTACGCATAATTCTGTATGTCTTAGCACTTAGCAATTCTCATGTACTTTTTAATTGATAATGACTAATGAGTGTGATGTGAGTAAAAATGTATACGTATAAAAAAGAAAAGAAAAAATAATCAGAGACTTATTATTACCTTTTCTTAAAAAATGGTATCGACTACACAGACAGGAAACTCAAATTAAATGTCAAGTTAAGATAGAAAGAAGAGAATAGTGGAAAAGGGGAAAGGAAATTAAAATTTTTGACAGTCTGGACTCTGAATATAACTTTACGCGGTTTAATTTTTTAAACTTTAATTTACTTCAATTCGTCAGGATAAAATTGCAATTTTTGTTTGTTTCAAACATGTATGTACATGTGAATATAGTTAAAGTTAATTATCGCATAAATAAAATAAATGCATGCACAATAAAGAAGAAACAATACTAGGAGTCACAAACAAGGCATGAAATAATTATGAATATTTTCTAAACAAATGTCAAGAAATTTGTAAGAAGATTATTGTGTGCTTGTCTAAACATGTCATTGAAGAAAACCTGACCATAAATTCTTTTCATTCATTACGTTTTTTTCTCTCTGTTTCAGATAGATAGAGAGAGGTTAAGTTATCAGTTAAGTTTTACTCACTTCCTAAAATTTGGCTCAAATGACCAAATATCAGATTAAAAGGAAATTGAAGGACTTGATCATTCCTGGAATTTTTCAACCTTCCCTTGCCTTGGTAGAAATTAAATATATATATATATATATCGTTTGCTTCATCTGAGTGTTGCTACCGGTATATGTACCCACCCGGCCATATTCAATTCTACTTTTTATTTATTTATTTTTATGTAGTAAAGATAGAGTCAGTAATCTTTTGATTTTTAGTTTTGAAAAACCAACATGTTTCTTTCTTTACCAAATGTCTTTTAATTTCCTGTCTTTTCTAAATAATAAAAATGATCAGGCAGCTTATGTCAGCATTGACTTCCATTCATTTCTTTCTTATTTCTTTTTGCTTCCCATTTAATTTCTCTATTTCTCTTCTACCTGCTGTTTACTCTCGGCTCAGGTACGAATACATACACAACAGGCAACTCCCACACAGGTTCACTGAAATTTTCAGATTTTAAAAAAGATTAATGCTAAACACGTGTGTGTGTGTATGAGAGAGAGAGAGAGAATAAAGGGTTCGTAGAGTGTTCCAGAACGTAATCATTTTTCTTTCAGTGCTAAACATAAAAAAGTGTGTGTGTGTGTGTGTGTGTGTGTGTGTGGAGATGATTTATTTATTGGGGGGCGGGGACAATCAAATGAAATAAAAAAAAGGTTACTGAGACCATCAACATTTGTTTAACAAATCAACATTTATAGTTTCCTTATACGCAAACCTGCCACCGATGACAACTCCAGCGGTCCTCTGTGGTCCGCCAGGGATAACATTGCTGAGAGGAATACACTGGCAGTCTGACAGTGGGACATCAGCAGTAAACACTAGTAGTGTCATGCCACCCAGTGGCAGATGGGTGGTTTGTGTGAAGGGTTGTTAGATTATCAGGACAAAAATATATAGAAAATGATTGAAACTTGCTCATTTGGATATGCCAATGAGCCCGACAAATGTTGCTGCTCAGAATCAAGGTGTAGTATCTGTCCCTTTATTCCCCAAAAATAATGAGGAAAAGTTTTGATTTGAAGCTTGTAAATTTTATTCAGTTCAATATTGAGATAATTTTAAGTTCAGTTTTTAAGCTCCAAATTTCTCTAGATATGGGAATAAAATAATTTATGTATCAAGCTATACTTCTTTTTTTTATCTCTTTCTCTCTCACTTCCTTTTCATAGCCAGTAAAAAAATTACTATTGAAATCTTGTAGTTCAGATATCGGTTCAGATATGCAAATCTAATCTTGACCGAAACTTATTACATGTTAGTACATAAGTGGATCAAATGTGTGGCTCAAACTTAATTGGATATCATTATCAATATCTAAAGCAAATATATTTTGCTGCAGCAAAATCACTATTTTTTTTTTGTTTTTACTCTATATTTTGTTTTTATACATGCATGTTGCATATTTCCATATAAGTAAATAGGTTCATATTTGATGTCCTAACAATATTGATGCAGCATACCAATTCTTTCTGTGCATGTCACACAGATGAGTCAGCAAATTTTCCTTTAATATCACTTTAAAACTACATATAGAAAGGAATGTTACTTGCTTTTTGAATCTTATTCAAATTGTGGATGGAGGAATTTGATTTTCTGCAATCTCCATTTGATATAATGAATAAAAGTAAAATCAGAAAAAAGAGGAACTTTTAACTTGTTATCTTAAAAATGCATTGAGAAATTTTTTTCTGAACTTAGGAAGCACTTGTCATAGCACAATCTACTATGGTTTTGCAAGCCTTTGATTGTGAGTTTGAACTTGTTGGGTATTATACAATAGTTGCTTTATAGGAAACTAAAATTTATCAAATAATTATCTGTTTGACTTTGAGTATAATCAGAGTGTAATATTCTCTTACTTCTATTTCAATCAGTAAAAATTTTACAGGAAATTTATACATTTCCCTGATATTTTTTGCAATCTTACAGAATGGTTTAATAAAATTAATATATCCAATAAAAAACAATGCAAAGAGAAACCATTTTCTTCAGTTGATTCCCAGAAAGTATGCAATAAATAAAGATATAAAACACTTTAATAGATTTAATTCAGAGAAAATATATTATTTTAGAAATTATAAAACAATAAGGGAACTAACAGGACAGAAGACATGCTCATCAACAGGCTGCATAAAATCTATGAATAGAATGCTCATATTAGACAAAGAAAAATTCTTCAGTGCTGGAACGAATATATTAAAGAACATGGAATGTGATATTTATGCTCAGAATGTTATCAGAAAGAGCAATATAAATGCAGAAGGACTTGCAGCTGTGTTTTATAGATTACTCAAAGGCATTTGAAAAGTATGGCACAAAAATCTATTAGAGCTGCTCAGCAACCTTGACATATTTGGAAAAGATATTAGAATAATCAAAAATCTCTGCTGGACAACAAACCACCTGCATACAGATAAAAAATGAGTTCAGCAGATATACAATAATAGAAAAGGGTATAAGACAAGGATGTCCCTTCTCACCAGACTTATTCAACCTATACAGTGAGGCAATTCTGAGAGAACTGGAAATCCTGCCAGGATTTATCATTGGTGGCCACTATCTTAACAATATAAGATATGCAGATGGCACAGTGCTGATAGCAGACATGGAAAAGAAACTGCAAAACCTCCTGCAGAAGGAGTGAAGGAGAGTGAGAAGAAAATTGTATGGCAGTGAATGTTGGACAATCTCCTCAAAGATGAAGAGACTTAAAGCAACAGAAATGTGGTTCTACAGAAGGATGCTAAGGATACCATGGGCCAAATATGTGTGCAATGACAAGGTTTTGGAGAGAAGGATAACAAAGAGGAAACTTATACTTAACATCAGGAGGAGGCAGTTGAAATTTATGGGACACATAATGAGGAAGGAAGGCTTGGAAAATCTAATACCCACAGGATGGATAGAGAGAAACAGAGACAGGGGTAAGAAATGAGTGACATACTTAATGGGTTTGAGCAAATGGATGGCAGAATAGGGTTTGGGAGAAATAATAAAAATTCAAAACTTATCAAGAGCTACAAGGGATGTGGAGGGCCATGAACGGACATGGCACATAAAAAAAAGAAGAAACAATACAGTACAAATCACCAAATAGGTGAACTTCATTAAGATGATTTCATCACTTTAAAGATTGTAAGGGTCATTGCTGTTGAATTAAAAATCATTATTTTTATTTTTTTGGAACAGTTTCGGTGATTGAAAAATTAAATAAAAGATTGTGAGATTGACCGTCCAATCTCCATTACTGGCAACAACATTGAATTTCATTATACACTTGAGATCACATGTGTTTTTTTGTTTTTTATTAAGGGGGGTGCTATTATTATTATTATGTGAAGAGATTTCTATTCACATTATTTAGAACATGGAAAATTGAATTGAAGCTTGACATTCTGCAATTTAACTGCAACACAAGTCAGGTAAATAAATATATAACAGCTTTATTCTGGGTATCATAAAGTTCCCCCATCCAGTCTTATAACTACTTTTAATTGTTTTCTCTATATTCGACATATATATATATATATATATATATATATATATATATATGTGTGTGTGTGTTTGTGTGCGTGTGTGTGTGTGTGTGTGTGTTCTTGAATGAATTATTACAGTTGAAACCAATCTTACAATCCATTGATAATACATTTGTTACTATTTTATTCCTAAGTTAATAGCACTTTACCTGATATATTTGGAACAACTTAAAATTAAGATTTGGTAGTTTGTGACATGGTCTACAGGTAGATTCCTGCTATTGAGTAGATGAGAATTATTTATCTCTTGTCAGTAAATAGAATATATGAAGATCATTCAATCTTTGTTTCTATTCTTGGTAGCCTCATTTATAATGCCTGAACTCATTTATAATGCCTGAACTTTATTGATACTCCCAAATAATGAAGTAGATGTTAGTAATGTAATGCAAAATTAGGTTGAACATTAATAAGGAGAGATGAGAAAATTTTCTTATCTCTCGTTCCAAACAATAAGTTGCATATTTCAATTATGCTTTTAGTAAAGTCTTAAATCTTTAAAATCCATCCTGACAACCATATAGATGACCAAAAATACTTCAAATAAACTTACTTAATGAAACCTATTCTGCCAAAGTTTTCTTAAA